CTCACATGTGCGTATAAGAGTGCGTATAAGAGTGCGTATAAGAGTGCGTATCTTCAGTAGGAATAATTTCTATTTTGATGAGCTCTTCCTTAGTTTTTAGTGTGACTTGCTCTTTTGTTGATGGATCTCTCAAACGGAATACTTGTATCCTCTCTACTTTAGTTTTAGCGACAAGATTTTTTAGATTAATTCTAAACCTTCCTACAGCTGGGTTGTGATCTGATCTCACATCAAGTCCGGGGTATGATTTTACTGATTTTATGGAATTTCGCTATCGTTTGCAGATGAGAAGGTAGTCAATTTGATTTCTGATGACGTTATGTTGGTTGTCTGCTGAAGATTTCCAAGTATAGAGTCTCCTAGGCGGCAGATTATAATAAGTATTCGCAAAAATAAAATCGGTATCTTGGAAGAATTGATCCAGTCTATCTCCTCTCTCGTTACGAGTACCCAGTCCAAAGTTTCCAATAAAAACACCTTGACTTCCTCTACCGATTTTTGCATTTAGATCTCCCATGACTATTGTAATGTCTCTAGACTTGGTTACTTCTAAAGTTTATTGTAATTCATTATAAAACTGTTCGAACTCTTTATCCGACTTTTCTGCTGTGGGAGCATATACTTGAATTATATTGATTCTAGTTTGAGCTCTTTTTAGTTTTACCATCATAACTCTAACCGAGATGGGTAGGAAGCCAGTTACAAATTTCTGGGTAGTTTTATTAACTAATATCGCTACTCCGTTTTAGTGATTTACGTCATTGTCATTACCAGAGTAGTATATCTTTGTTTGGCCTACTGATATGTCACCTGAATTGGACCATCTAGACTCACTTAGTCCTAATATTTTTATGTCAAGTCTTTAAATTTCCTAAATGATATTATGGACTTTACCTGCTTGGTATATTGACTTAACATTCCACATGCCTCTCTTTATACACTTTCTGTCGATTTTATTCTTCTTTTTGGACGATGTCTTACTAACGGATATTTCACAGGGATTTCGGTCGATATCGACCTGAGAGGCCCTGTGGTCTATGTGTGATTTACCTCCCCTGCCGGATCTTGGTCTCCGATATCTATGATCAGTAACAGAGTTACCTTTTTGTGACTTCTTCTTTTTCTTTCTTATAGTAACTCCTAAAATATTAGTTGGAAGTATACATTAAATAATTGTGACGACAGCACACATCCCTGTCCTTTTTAAATTTCTACTTGGTTTGTGTCACTATCTTCCACCCGTATGACAGCAGTTTGGTTTTAGAATAGATTTTTAATTACATTAATATCAAAAAGAGAAATCATACGATTTCTACCTGGCGAATCGAATTCAAATACCGTCATTGTGTTAAATTAATATCTTTGGGATCTAGGTGTATGTGTTTCAATACATGTATGAGTTTACCATGTTGAAATCTGTCAAACGCTTCTTTTCCTGCATTTTTGTAACAGTACCTGTGTGTTGTCTAATTATTATTTTCCTTTACATTATATATATATATATATATATATATATATATATATATATATATATATATATATGTATATATATATATATATACAGTGTAGGTAAAATTTTAAGGTCGGTATGGTAAAATTTAACAGGATATCTAACGCAGATATAAAATCATATTTTCAACGAATTAGACAAAGATAACAATCATATTTCCCCTTCGTCTCCCCTCCTAGAATCCTTTTAACACTCATTGGCCATTGCCCATTAGTGAGACGATTAGTTCCGATCAGATATTCTCTGGTTCCGATCCTAATATACCTAAAAAACTAGAGGTGGGTCTTCTCGTTTTTTTAATTTTTATCGGAACCGTTTTTCGTAAACTGTAACTAGTTGATTGTTTACCAGTATTCAAATTAGCGAGTACACAAACATATTAGCTATTATCGTTTATGTGTATAAGTATTGAAATAAAAGAACCTAACGAAGGATATATTTATTGTAACTTGAAAAATAAATTAAATAATACAAATGGTACTTAAATAGTTACATTTACATTACACATTATTAAATCGCGAATCGTCTAAATTGACATTTAAAAACATAAGTTTTTCCACTTTTCTTGTTAATCGCGTTCTTCTTTTATTTAAAATTATACCAGATGTTAAACATGTGTTCACAAGGAAAAGATTTTGTTACAATACTACAACATTTTATGAATATAGTGGTTAAGTTACGATATACATGGCGATGGTTTTTTCACCACGGTAATGGACAGTTCCAATCTCCGTTCGAAATTGTTTGTGGGTAATATATCATCAGACAATTACATGTCGACTTCTTTTATACCTCTCGATACAGGTGTATGTTTAGATGAGTCATGTCCAATTAATTCATCAAAAATACACCATGGACTTAAGTCATCTTTATCAGTTTCTTTTTCTTGGACTGATTGATTTTCAAGATTTACTAAACTTTTCGTTTCATCCGTTTTCCATAGTTAAAGAACCAGCTTTTAAAAAGTTTGCAGGGTGGATTCCTGGATATAAACCACCAACAAGAAAAACTTTGTCAGGTTCATTACTTCAGGAATATTATGTCAAAAGTGAGCAAATTATTAGATCGCAAGTTGTTAAAGAAGTAGAAAATATCTGTATTACCTGGACATCTGGAGTAACTGAGAGTTACTTCGCATTAACAGGACAATATTTAACACAGGACAATAGTTTTTATGTCAATTTAGACTATTCGCGATTTAATAATAACGTGTAATGTAAATGTAAGTCCGATTTACTATTTGTATTGTTTAGTTTAGAACAGAATATTTAAAACAGAATATTTAAAAATTGGAGGAAATACCACAGATCTGAGGCTTGAAAACGCAGTCATAAAAGGCTGCAACCAGTATAAATATCTAGGAAGCATCATATCAGCAGATGGCAGAGTTAAGATAGATGTACAAAACCGAATAACCCAAGGGAAAAAATGCATCCGAATACTGAATTCATTACTGTGGTCTAATAAAATAAAGATGCATACCAAACTTCGCGTATACAGAGCAATTGTAGAACCAATTACCACATATGGTGCCGAATGTTGGACGATGACAAAGAATGAACGAGATAAAGTAGACGTTGTGGAAATGGATTATCTTAGACGGTCATGTCGAGTATCGAGAATGGAAAGAATCAGGAATGAGGAAATACGAAACCGTACAGGAATTAGAGATACTCTTTCAGATAGAATACAAGGAAGGCAATTACAATGGTATGGTCACGTGATGAGAATGGAGGAGGAGCGGTGGCCAAAGAAAGCCTTAATGTATGTTCCGCCAGAAAGAAGGAAAAGGGGAAGACCACCAAATTCCTGGAGAAGAGAAATTACAAAAACAATGCAATCTAGAGGCTTAGAAGAGGGAGATTGAAGAGATAGGAAAAGATGGAGGCTGAAATGCGGGAAGCGGCAATCGCCGTAGGACCCCCGTTATATGATGATGATGATTGTTTAGTTTATTTTTCAAGTTATAATAAATATATCATTAGGTAGTTTCTTTCACTTCAAAAGATATACACATAAACGATAATAGCCGTTATGTTTGTTTATGTAGGTACTATCTTACTTGAAACTACTTTTAAACAATCATAGTTACTTGTTTATAAAAATTAAAATTTTTAAATGCTTTTTAGCATTCAAAAAAATTAAAATTTATTTGGAATCCTGAGAAAACTAACAAATATTTTTGAAAAATTTAAATGCAGAATGAAAGATTACATTATTACCGAGGGCCGAAGGTCCCTTAGAATAAACAAAAAGTTTTTTTAATGAGATATTTGAAATTAAAAATCACACTAAATTTTGTTTTTTTTTTTTCATCCCTATAACTTATTAAAATACACATTATAGAAGTTTTCAGGGACTTTCAGCTCTCGGTAATAATGTATTGTTTCATTCTGCGTTTAATTTTTTCAAAAATATTTATTATTATTATATATAAAAAATTGACCCGAAATTTTGCACCTACGCTCTTAACGATAAACTAGCACGACCCACCTCTACTTCTCGTTACTCGATCTTTTGACCAAACCACCGAACGGTGGCCAAACGACTATCTAGACTAGACGTTGCCAAATAAATTAGTGTATGAATATTTTTTAATTTGGCGTTATTGTATGCATGTTTAATTGTTTATTATTTCATATTGGGAAATTATTTTGATGTTTAGATTTTTAGTTCGGAAATCGTACTTAAAATACGAAACATTAATAAATTTTATTTATATAAAACGATTTCCGAAATGGAAATCAAAATGTTATATTACAATTATTGTAAAGAAAACTTGTGGCATATTCCCAATAAAAAAAACAGTAACCTGCCATTTAAATCAATTTCGCCCAAATTTGATTATCTTGAGCATTTTATCTTCTTGATAGAACATTGTTCAAATGCAAAAAAGACAACAGGTCAAATAAAACCAATAAGTTTGGCAACGTTGAATTTCCCCTTTTTTAATATTTCCATTCGGCGATATAAAGGGCGTACCTAATATACCTCTCTCTTTTTAAACAGCTGTTTCTCACTCCATCTCACGTAAGGTCCATACCGACCATAAAATTTTTCCTACACTGTATATATATATATATATATATATATATATATATATATATATATATATAAGCTGTTAAATAACTTTAAATACTATTTTTAAAGTGTGTTTCATGAGTCTAACTAATCGGTATTCATCGCAAGATTTAGCATTATTTAGCATTGTTCTTGGGTAAGGGTAAAAAGATAGATTTTAACCATACATGAGGAATTAGGCCGTCGTGAGATATTTTATTAAATAATTTAGTTAGACACTCACTATTTCGTCATTCATGATTTTAAAATTTCTACTGGAATTTCACCAGAGCCTGATTATTCAATATTTAAAAGCAATAATCTATTTATAAAAAATTGATTGTTTTACTATTCTATAGACGTTATTATTTCTTTTTTTTTTTAATAGCCATAAAGGCTGATACGAATTTGTCAATAACAAAATATTTACCTTGCAAAACTCCCATTCCTTTGAAATCCATGTCAATACTAGCAATTTTTAAGTCCATATCCATATCTTGGGCCTCTAACGTTCCGTCGACTTGTACCTCCATTTTGGCTATTGCTGTTACCACTACCTAAAACCAAATTAGCATTTATGTTTTTACCAAAAAGATCCGGCAATAACTGGGACAAACTAATGTTAATAGGTACAGGAGAGACGATAACCCTTCAAGTGTCCCGGAAACTTAATTACTCTAAGAATTTTAGTCTTTAGCATTCAAACATTATGAAAATATGTACGAAGCTCTAAACGTTTATTTCAAAGTGCATTATACAGAATATAGAAATTAAGAAATAAGAGACATTTAGGTAATATATATATATATATATATATATATATATATATATATATATATATATATATATATATATATACAATGTGAAATAAAATAAGTAAACTCAAAGGATCTTATTAATATTATACAAACCACAATGAATTGTAATAAAAATCCCTCGTCTTTACTCCGATTATCTTCATATATTATTTCCTGTCTGGTCATTCCTCTATATATTTTTTTCATCTTCTTAATTTTTGTTCTGTTTCCACTAAAATGTTTCCTTGTTTGTCCAATAGTATTCTTGAGGTTTTTTGTTTTGCTACCCCAGCTAATTCTTTAACTTTCTTATGGAGATTGAAGTTATCATATTTGTTTTGTAAGTCTTCTATTTCTTGGCATTTTCCAGCGAATTAAGTCTCTTTAGCTTCTCTTATTTGATTATGCAGCTGTTGATGCTGAGTTATATTGATATTCTTTTGCCTTCTTTGTCCTCAATCATTTCCAAAATTTATTTTGTCATCCAATCTCCTTTCTTGCATCTGGTTGTTGTGAGTTCTCTGCGACTTGGTTCGATAATTGCATTTTTAAAGAATTGCCACTGTTGGAGAAAGTATTTGCGCATTCATTTTATATTTTTACAGTTAATATTTTTTCTGTTACGGTACTGTAATATGACCTAATTTGGTGCTGTATTTTAAAAGACCTTTTTGAAATATATTGTTTCCTGTTGTCTCATAAAACTTAAACTGGATATCTCATTTATGATGTTGTGAATACGGAGAATTTGGCTTCTATTTTGTATGGTTCAAAAATATACACACAAAAGTTTCGTGTTACCGTCACAATTAGTTAAAATTATCGGAAGGGTCGCAATACAATGGAATGATTTATTGGTACACCCTCTGGGACACCGCTTAGAGGGCTTGATTCTTAGCTGTGACCATATCAACGCATTGGCACTGCCACTTCTTCGTCAGACAACGATCGATCGATACGCATCTAGTTCTCGTGTTAATCATAGCCTCGGCGCCCCAAGGCCGCAGCATCGCGTCGTGATGCCCAACGACCAACTCTTCAACCTGTTACGAATTCATCAATAGAACCAAAGGGTAAGTCTATTCTTGTACAAAACATTGATAATGAGTAAACCAGTTTATTTCTAATTTATTTCTACTTTTACAATTTATAATTGCTATTTTCACCAATTTTATGTATCAACAATATCACATTTTTTCGTTATAATTATTTATTCAATATAATTTAAACCAGCGACTTCTCAAGTTTAATCACTAAACAAGTTGTTCTACATCACCAATCAATTGATTCTGGTGTGGATTCTAGGTTTGCATTAATTTCTTTGGCGTCGTCTGATTTTAATTTTTGTATGTTTAGTTTATCACTTTTGTAGCTTTTTGTGTCTTTTTTAAGTAAAGTTAGAATTTTGCTACAAGAGTTTTGTGGTCTGATGCTACGTCTGCACCTGGGAACGCTTTCACCGATTGTATTGCGTTTCGGTATCTGTGGTTTATTAATATATACTCAGTTTGGTTTCTAACGATTTTATCGCTCTTGTCAGCTGGCGATTTCCAAGTGTAAAGGCGTCGTTTAGGCAGTTTGAAGAAAGTATTCAATACCGCAAGATTATGTTCTAGGCAGAATTCTATAAGGTGTTCTGCTCTTCCATTTCGAAAACCGAGTTCATGTGGTCCTACAGTAGACTCACATCTTCCTTCTCCAACTTTGTTGTGTAAATCACCCATGACTACTGTTATATATCTGGATATATATTAGAGAATATAATAAAAAGTATTTATATGAGGGTATTCTTAAGAAATTAGCATAATAAGTTTAAAAAGTTTTTTTTAAAAATTATCATATTATAGATGTATTTGGATGCACAATGTGCATAGGCAACCAAATATACACTGTATTATGACAAGAGTGAATTTGAACAGAAAGTAGAAATTTAAAATGATAATTACGGATTTAAAATAGTGTTATTTATTAATGTAAGATGATTAATTTACATATAAGTTTACTTTCTGATCTGCAAAGCGTAAATGTCCATAAAATCCTTCATAAAAAAGTTGAGAATTATCTAGAACATTCAAATAAGACGTCAATATAAGAAAGTTAAACTTATTTGCGTAGTAGAATATTCGAAAACATTCATTTATCTAGGAAATAGTACAATTCGAATATTTTTTCTTTCAAGATTATTCTGGAACATCGAAATGATATAAATACTCTGGAATTTGGAGAATAGAGGACAGTATGGAGTTAATTCATTAATAAGTTAGTTAGTTAGTCGGTCAGAAAATAGTACAAGCAGTCCATTAATATGATAGTATACAGTATTCAGTATTAGAGTATTAATTATGCAGTACAGTATGCAATAATCAGTGATTCAAAGTTTTATAGTATTAAATGTTTATTACATGGAGATTGAAAAAAATTGTATTAATTGGAAATTAAAAATTATTATGTATATGGAGATTAGAAGAAATTAAAATTATAATATTTATATGGTGATTGGAGATTGAAAAAAAAAATAAGATTATAAGAAAGAAGATTATTAAAAAAAAGGATAAACAAGAAAGAAGAATATTTTGCCTATTTATAAATGCTATTAAGAAGAGAAATATTTTAAACTGGTGGAAGCTGATAATTAAAACATTGTGGTGTATTTGGAAAAAGCAATTTCACAAAAACAAGGATAACCGAAACTGATAACGAAGATATTGAGTGGTGATTAAACCCTTTATTTTGGAAAACAGTTTCATTTAGGCATTCAGTGACAGAAAGGTATCAAATTTTGTTAATATAATTTAATTATTGTAAGAATTTTAATTTTAAGAGAGGTTGTTCTAAATTTATATTGTCTATATTAAATATATATGTGTGTTTAATAATAATAATAATTATAATAAAGATAATTAAAAAAAGTACTTACAAACTAATTCTTTGAGAACCGCGATAAAAACCCTATAATTATATATGTTATTTTAAAATACTCATTGCTCATACACAAACAAAACATCATAGCAATATATATATATATATATATATATATATATATATATATATATATATATATATATATATATATATATATATATATATATATATATATATATATATATATATATATATATATATATATATATAAATATATATATAAGGCTTCCAGTCTCATTTTGGTAACATCTACCATGAGGTGCTGAATTCTAAAATATTGACATGCATACAAGCATATATATATATATATATATATATATATATATATATATATATATATATATATATATATATATATATATATATATATGTATATATATGCTTGTATGCATGTCAATATTTTTAGTGTTTACGGTGATAGTTGTCAGTGTGTTAACATATATATATATATATATATATATATATATATATATATATATATATATATATATATATATATAACACACTGACAACTATCACCGTCAACACTAAAAATATTGACATGCATACAAGCAAAATTTACTTGTTGATCCCAAAAACAGTTCAAGAAAGAATTGTGATTGAAATGCTACGAAAAGCGACATAAATATGAAAATAATAAATAATAAATAAATTCACAAAACAAAGTATTACTGGCAATATTTAATATTTTCAGAATAAAGTACTGAGAAATATGGTAAATGCTCCTTAAGAGCTACCAGCTTAAGAATGGTCCAGCCACGAGATTCTACAGTCCAGCGACTAAAGAGGGAAAAGAAGTAGACTACAACAGAAAGGTAGCGTAACATCAAATTTTTTATACACAAATATAGTTACATAATTGATAAATTTTTATTTTAACTTATTTCGTCATATCGTCATTAAAATATAAAATCAGCACCATTATAATAAACATTTGACAGGTGAAAGCTCCTATTGTTGACTAAATACATTTGTTCACATATACCTTAGTAAGTTTAACCGTAAAGGGCCCAGCACCTTTAGAAAAGAAGGACCGTAGTGTATAATTCCCCTTGGTAGTCAAGACATCAATAGACAAAGTCGCTTCCAGTCTCATTTTGGTAACATCTACCATGAGGTGCTGAATTCTAAACTTTTGCAAACCATGCAGTTTCATATTTTTAAAAAACATCCTCCCAACTGAAAACGATTTGGTCATGTCTGGTAGAGGCATCGGGTCTGGAATGGGCGCTCCCGGGATACCCAACGGATCTGGTTGCTTATAGTGGTTAAGTACCTCCAGTAATGTCTCGCTGAGCTTCTTTTCGGATGTGATAGTCTGATTGGGATATAATTCTGCTGCTGGTCCTGCAGCAGCATCTGCAGCTAAACAAAAAAAAACCTTAGAAATTCTTAGAGATAAATTGCTACTATATTTTAATTAAAACCATATAGTATTTCCAAAAAAAATTGTTAGTTTATTTCATTACATAAAGTATATAGGTAACATTAAAACGTCACAAAAAATGAGTTTGAGAATTATATTAAAAAATATATTTATTTAAAGTAATAAAATAAAAAAAAACTAAGACTAGGATGGGTATGTTGGATGTTTTGGTATATTTAAAAGTGTTTAGCTGTGTGCTATTTAGCGATTAAATGTAGACAATTGTTAAGTATATCGTTGGTACTATTAACACAAATAAACTAATCTTGTAACGTCTTTCACTTTTTTCAGAAGTCTTAATCAGCTAGCTTGAATTCTAGAATTATCTTTTTGTATCATCATTTAGCTTTCCTTAACTTGTAACTAGGTGTGACAATTTTGTTCTAAACTGTTATCATTGCATAGTTACTCCAGGTAAAACAGAAGGTTAAGGAAAAAATATCGCAAGGAAGAAGACCAACTGAATAGATTGAATAGTATGTGGTATCCTATCGTGGCCTATAAATCTGGAGATGGACAGAATATGACTAAAGATGACTCATTGCTGTGGAATTAGATGTTCGGCGACCGTCATGTATACAATGATTCACGAAATATAAGCTAAAATAAAAGAAATATAAGCTAAAAACTACCAAAGGCAGCATAGATTTAGAAACCTATAGAAGGAAGGAAACAAGGAATATCTAACACCTTCTGGGAAACTAACATTAGAAAGACAATGAGTGCGAAGAGCTTAGATGATAAGATATGCTGGGATAGACACAGTTTTATTTCTTTATTGTAGATAACTTGAGGTATTTTGGTGGATGGATTGATCACAGAATTGTTTAGTTTTCTATCCCTGAAAAATTTACACCTGTTTTGACCTCTTGACTTCCCACTCTGATTGAAGACCTTCTAAGAATAATCTTTTTTGTGTAATATTACTTTATAAATTGTACTTTTTCTGTTAATTGTAATTTTTTTCGAGCATTTTTCCATTGTTAGTGTAAATAATGTTTCTCGTCCTGTTTTTTTATGAGTTTTTAACACCATTATTTGAGTATTTCAGTTACTACAATTACCTTGCGATGACTTATTCTTTTTATGTGACATTTTCTGTTGTACATAGTTAGCCCATTATGAAGATATACGTGACCATACGCTTGGCTACAAAATAAAACTCATCGTAGTATAACCAGTAATATTTTATTTACATATCTATTTCAACCTATTTTTTCTTGCGCATTTAAATCTATAAATTTTTAGATTTCTTTCATTTTATCATTCCAGTTATTGCATTCAGCATTGTAACTGTTGATTTACTTGTTAATAAATAAGTGATTTTATTCTTCTGTTTAGTTATAAAACTTTTAAAAAATAGACCGTTGCCACATAAGATACAAACATCACCGTCAACGTCAGCGTTATGAATGTTGTGTCAGCTGCTGTGAGGCTCCACGTCGTGGTTGTAACAGCTTTCAGCGGTTACGTAAGACAAGCCAGATCTTGTGTCACCATAAACGTGTTGGTGATAATTTCTATCCTAGGGCACATTGTGGTTACTCATCCATCAATAGTATATTATGTTTAAAGTTGCAAAGCGTATATAGGGCGTTAAAAACTAAAATTTATACTTATAAGTTGCGTTTTTGTATTAAATTTGTGGTTTAATTAAATAGTATCTGCATCTTTGTAAAATATATAAAGTATTGTAAAGGAAATTAAAGAAATATTAGGAATCGAAATCACTATGTAGTGTAATACACTAACAGACTACAGTAGGGCTCTAACAATATTGAAATATGTAAAAGACGAATGAAAAACACATATATAGGAACTACCAGAGGGAGTACATTCTTAGATCAGGGAACAAAATAAATAGACATAAATACACATACCATCTCCTTTGTCAAACTTTATTTTATTTCTAGATATAGGTATCTCCGAATATGTTTTATCTTTTTATTTTGCGCTAATATCATCTACTGTATGCACGCCACTGCTTTTACGGTATCTGTCAATGTTCCTGGGTCATTGTTGCCATTTATTTCACGCTGTCCATAACTTTTGTTCCCTGTCTTATTATCTCTTAGTCTTAGTGATACACAACGTATACTTCATTCTATTGCACTTTGTGTTCTTGAGTTTTTTCTTAGTCTCCAAAAAGTGTTCACCGCCTACGCTCTAATGCACCGCCGTTATGCTAGATATGGTTAACTGTTTCACGTTTACTGCCATACCTAACTTTATTCTACAGCTCTTAAAACTCCACAAAACAGTTCCATTTTATACATGTTTTCCAGATTTATATTTGTACTATTCAGGCGTAGAGGGTTTTCTTCTAAATGTGCCCATCTTCTAGAGATGTTGGCGACCACATTGACCGATCTTATTCAATTCACAGCAGCTCGAAATAGATCAGTTGACGTTAGACCAGTCCATTTCCTAAGACTGGCCAGCCAGGATATACGTCTACGTCCAGGGCCTCTCTTACCCTCAATCTTGCCGTGTAGAATCAACTGTAGAAGTCGGTATTTATCATTACGCATGATGTGGCCAAAATATGCCAATTTCTGTTTTTATTATGTTAATAATTGCTTTCATAAAACAATTACTCAATAAATAACACACATTTCATAAATATATTTCTCGAATAAGTATAAATAACTTTTAATAATACAATGGTATATTACATCACTTTCATTTAACAAACAATCACACACACATATCTCTGCTTCATTGGATCAAATCTATCTCCTCAAGAACTTCCCGTTTACTGTCATACAACTACAATAGCAGAATTGAGTTCTCCATTCAACAATACATAGTAGTTTCAACCATGTTCTACCATCCATCAATTAATAGATTACCGGCATGTAAGTAATGTTTATTTATTTGCTCATTTATTAATTTATTACAATCTAATAGACTATTTTATAACAATTTGTGGGCCTTACCTTGTCTGTTTAAACTTTTAAAACTTTTTATACAACTTACTCTTTTTGAAATAAAACCACAGACATGTAATATTGGCATAATTATTGTAATTTCCAACATCTACTTTGTTTATCTTTATTAGACAACACCCTAATATGCGTTTTTATCATTTCAGCATTTATTTAACTTTGTATCGAGACCTGAAGATGCTTTGCATATTGTAGAAAGCGAAACCGGTCGTCTGATAGTTAAATTAAATTGATTGTGAGTAAGTCTTATTTATTATTTCTTTACCTTTATTTCTTTACCTAATTGCTTTGTCTTTTCTTAGCATCTGGAGAATATTAATGTTACTTGTGTGGTGTATATATGAAAGCCTTAACATAGGTCGGTAACACCACATTTCAAATGCCTCCAATCGTTTTATGGCATCTTCTGTAAGGCTCCAGCTTTCTACTCCATAGAGGAGAACACTCAAGACGTAACATCTAAGAATTCTTTTGCGTATATTGATACTTAAAGATAAGTTGCAGAGAATCTTCCTAAGGCTGTTGAAAGAGCTTCTGGCTTTTTCAATATGAGTTTTTATTTCGTAGCTATGATCTCAAGTATCCTCAATATTGCAGCCCAAATAGCATATTTTTCCACCCTTTCTAAGAGAGTGTGTCGTTAATTGTAATTTAGGCATTTATGCCAATGTTCTTACTAATGTTTATTATTTTTGTCTTCTTGCAATTAAGTTTTATGCCGTATTTTTTACATGCTTCTTACAATGTATCCATCATCCTTTGGAGCCCCTGCGTACTATCTGCCAGCAGCACTGTACCGTCTGCATTTCTAATGTTGTTTATAAGTTGGCCATTTACAGCAATCCCAGCTTCTGATTCGTCCACGGCCTCTCTAAAGATGTTTTCAGAGTATATTTTAAATAATGCCGGTGACAATATGCAACCCTGCTGAACTTTTTTTTCGACTGTGAAGATCTCGGAGAGTTAATTTTTTAATCGTACTGTTGCTTTTTGTTAGAGATATTTGAGATCAGTCTTATATCCTTACCATCGAGTCCTAAGGTTTACCGATTAGTTTCCCATGTGGGACTTTATCAAATGCCTTCTCGAAATCAATGAAATATGCATACACATGTAGTTGACATCCCTGACTCTCCGTATGAAACTTGCAAACTAAAAAGTGCTTCCCTCGTTTCTAGTCCTGCTCTGAATCTAAATTGAGCTTCACTCAAGTGTTCTTCTAATTTGATGTATATGCGCAAGTAAATGATAGTAAGGAGTAATTTAGGTACATGGCTCATCAAACTAATTAGTCTATAGGTAAAAGAAATAATAAATAAGACTTACAATCCGTTTGGATTGTAAGTCTTATTTATCCGCGGATAAATTTTAATTTATACCGCGGAGCTTCGGTACGGTGTGGATGGCGGAAATGGCAACCCTCGATTTTTGGGTTGATATAGAATCAAAACAGTACGGTCCCCAGGTGGGTGGAGTATGTTATGCCAAATCCCACACCTAGAAAAGGGTGTGCCTCGTGGAATATGGGGGAGGCAAGAATTCGCTTAGTACACACAGAATGCACATCGGAACATATAACATCAGAACGATGAGGAGAGAAGATAACCTAGAAGAGTTGCAAGAAGAACTTAAGACCATCAAATGGGACATAGTAGGCCTATGCGAGACAAGGCTTAAAGGCGAAGAATCGACTCTACTAAAATCAGGGCACACTTTGTACCAATACAATTCAGGAAATAACCAAGGTATAGGATGCGTAGGCTTTTTAGTACATAAGAGAATTGAAAACATGGTAACCAAATTCCAAGCGATTTCTAATAGAGTTATCTATATGGTAATAAAACTAAATCGTAGATACAGCGTTCAAATAATCCACTGTTATGCACCAACTTCTTCTGCAGATGATGAAGAGGTAGAACAACTTTATGAAGACATTACAAGAGCCAGAAACTTAGAGAAAACATATTACGTAATAATTACGGGAGATTTCA